TATATATACTGTATATATACCAACTTATCTACTTGTCAGAATTTGCACTACTTTTATTGTCAAACATAATATTTACCCATCAATTTTTGCATGATAATTGCATTTCATTTTCATTCTGTTTAATATTCAACAAGTTGAACAGATAATCCACCCTAACCCCGCTACTTGGTATCGGTATCGGTATCGGCGAGTACCCAAACTCAAGTACTCGTATTTGTACTCAGTCTTGAAAAAACTGGTATCGGGACACCCCTAATTGTTATACAAAATATATTTCCTTTCTGAATTTATTTCAACAAAACACACTTTTTTTGTGATATATGGATGAATCATTTTAATAAAGTTGTATTTTTAATAAGTGTTAATCTGTGCAAATGGCAGCTTTTTTGTGGACGTTCTGCTGCAAAGATACTGTCCACACTGATGATTTTCACTTTGTATAAAATTCAGAGACATCAAACTGGACAGGATGTAGCAGATATTTTAAATTATTTTCATTTGAATTGAACTAAATCAGACAGTTTACTAACCTGAAAGCCTTTCAGAGATAACAACATTCAAACTAAGTGTAGAGCTGAGAGCAAACCATCTGAGCAGCAGCATCAGTCCAACAACAGATGATCTGGACCAGTGGTTTCATCTCTTCTTTAGAGGAACCTGCTCTCTGTACAACTGTGATACCAGGTTGTTTGTCTTACAGTACTTAAATCTGAAATGAAGGAGCCGCTCAAAAGGCTTGATAAGAAACACACAGAATATATCAGAGGTGTGTGACCAGCTCAGAGCTGATAAAGAACATGTTTATCAGGCTGACAGACGTGTATTTATTGTTAAACTTTAATTTAAGAGCTAGAAAACCAGGCAGAAAAAAGGAGGAACTCTAGTGTCACTGCAGCTGCAGCAGGAATCCTGACTGACCAAGGCTTCGTTGTTTTAGTTTAAATCATAATGCAGCAGTCAACAACAACTTTAACAAATAAACCTCTCCAACAGTTCATGTACCACAGCATGATTCCTCTTCATCACCTAAACATTTGATACAAAAACAGGGAGCAGATCACAGAGCAACTGTCCTGCTGCAGCTGTCAGCAGAATATAAAGATTTATAAATTGTTTCATTATCAGTGTTCTGTGTATTTCACACATAGCCACAGTGCTGATGGTGATGCAGCAACTGTGCTTCATCTGATCAGGATCCTCCTGGGTCCTGATCAGATGAAGACCCTCACCTGGTTGCTCTGGATGCAGAGGAGCAGCAACTGAACAAAGACTCAAGTTTTGTTCAAAATTAACACAAATGCTCTTAGTTCAAATCAATATTTTTTAATAAGTTTCAGAGAAAGGTGGGATTAATGAAGCTTTTTTTTACTTCTTCCCATTTCTTTTCAAATATGTTAATTTTGTTATCACTCTTTATCATTTTTTGTTTTGTATACATTTATGAAATAAACTAAACTAAAACTAAGCCAAAATTATTCAGATATTTTCATAGAAACGGATGTAATTAACTGAAATGATTTATTATTGTTGGATTTGACATGAACATTTACAAGTCAGTTCATAAAAGTGAAACTTAAATTAAACAAATAAAAAATAAACCCAGTTGTGAATGTTTCTACTCTACTAAAAACTGCTTCAAGCCCTTTCTAGGATAAAAACAGGACCGATGATGTTAACCTCACTATTGACTCACCAACAAAGTTGATTTTAGGGGTGCTGACTTTCTTCCCGGCTGAGGTGGAGCTGGCGGCTGACAGGCCCACCTGGTTCTTGAACGCAGCCGTGCCGCTGCTGACGATGTTGACGGGTTTCAGGTAGGGGGCGCCGGTGCTGGTGGAGGATGAGGAGGTGGCAGACAGACAGCTGGTGGTGCTGGAGCTGCTCAGAGTGGCTGCAGACGTCTTACTGGGAGCAGCTGTGCTGGAGGACAGCGTCTGAGTGGACAAGCTGGGCTCAGTGGAAGGAATGGGTTTACCCAGTTTGGTGTGAAGCTTCACAACCTGAAAGAGAARTTCATGCATTTCTGAGCGTTTTATCCAACGAACCAAAACTAACCCAGCAGACATGAGCTGAAAATAGTTTTATTTCTCCATCTAATCAGTTCACAGATGGTTTCATGAAGTGGTGCTGCTGGAGGACAAACAGACCACATCTCCTCACCCTGCTGAGCTCAGGTCACCTCACCTTCCAGTGTTAATGTCTCGTACCTTTTGGTGCTTGGCTCCTCGGATGTGAGCAGCATATGCGTCGGCGCCGGTACATGAGACATCACAGAGTTCACAGCGCAGCTGGTTCTGAGCGCTGCGGGCCAACACGCCTCCACTTCCACCGCTGCTGCTGCTCTGAGAAACCTTCAGGGCTGCTTCCTTCTTCTTGTGCTTCTGGCCTTCCAGGTGCTCTTTATAAGTCTGATTCAGAGAACCATTAATCAGTACATGCTCTATTTTTAAAGAATGATTTTTAGACTGCAAACCTTTAAASGTATGAAACATCATTCACAGCAGTGTGCACAGACATTTTCGGGGGCAGGTGCTCAAATGTAAAAAGAGGGCACCTTGTCCGGTGCACGGAATCAGCAGCTGTCCGAATAATGTAACATTACAAACACATCATGAACATTGTGCAAATTTATCTATGTTAAATCAGATTTTTTCCGCCTGATACAGATGTTTAATATTCATCAACACTCTACAGGCTGGTTTCTGTAACAAACTGGCAACAATAGAACAAAAACCTTTTGTAGTGTTTATAAAATAACTATAATCAAATTTTTACAACATACAATTTTTGATTTTTGATTTTTTTACCTGGATTACTGAGATGCATCAGGATATAATCAAGTTTATTTTCTCAAAATGACTAATGGCTTTTGTGTTCTGTGGAGGATCTTCCTTCAGTCTCTCCATCATAGAGCTGTTTCCATGATCTGAATTCTAACAATTCAGCTTCATCTGTGTCTGACGGAGGACGGCAGGAAAACATAGAGCTGCTGCTCTGCTGCAGCTAAAACACCAACAATATCAAATATGCGGGACTTTGTTTCAACTTGCGCGACGCCGGGACAAGACTGAAACATGTGAGACAGTCCCACACAGTTTGCCTGGGGCTGTAGGTAAATTACCTGCTGGTTATAACTGTCCTCTGTTGTGTGGATGAGAGAAGAGAGAGGAGCTGTTTCAGCAGCTCTCCTCCTGTCMGAGCGCGCAGMGCATTAACCGAGGGACAGCACACAGGAGCTGCGGGCGCGCACGGCACTTGTGTGTGGTGAAGGCAGGGTATGAGGGCAATATTATTATTAATAATATTAATGCTGTTTCCATTATAGTTGTACACTTAATAAGAAGTGCAACCAAGGGCGACAGATGGAGCATAAAAAAAGCGGGTTGAACAGGGGCACTTGATGGTCTGGAGGGAAAAGGGCAGGTGCTCAAGCACCACCTGACGTCTATCTGTGCACGTCCCTGATCATTCAGACATTACATTGCTCATATTTAACCAGTAAAAATGTCCTTTAACAACTCAGAAATAACCAGATGGATGATTTCTTTTCATTTTGTCTGAGCTCATAAATGTAAATGCTGCAGTCTGCAAATGTTTGTACAAGAAGAGACAGAAACACTTAAATGTCCTGTTGTCTTAATCTGTGAAGGATTTTAACAGCTGGTCTTCTTTCAGGTAAAACAATTCTCCTTTATAATAAAAAGAGAAGAGCATCTGTGGTACCTCATAATGATTCAGTAAAATATGGATCCTAACATCTGATCTACAAACATTTAAACAGCTGAGGTTTACAGTTTTACAGAAAGATGTGCTTAAAACTTTGTTTAACTTAACAAAAAACCTGTTTTATTTCCTCCCAACTATCTGAAATTAAATCAGTCATAAATCCATCTTGCTAATGTCGGCTTGTGCTCTGAGCGCAAAGCAGCAKAGGGTCAGTTCAACAGGCTCACTGTACGGCAGGCTGATAATGCATTTATTTAGCTTCGCCACTCTTACATTCCAGTTATCTGAAATTGTTTCATGACTAGATTAGACATATTAGTTATTTAGGAAAAAAATAATAAAATGTTTTCTTTTATTATTTTGTTTTGTTTTATTTACTTATTTTTTTTAACTTGGAGATCTTTACAACTTGAGCTTGTTTGTTTGTTGAAGTTGATTTTTGAAAATAAGGGGCACATATGATAGGTTTTTCTTCACTCAGCACCCTTTTAATTCAGGGTAGGATTTACTTTTTTTTAAATTGTGTACATAGATTGTTTTGTTTTTATAAATGAAAGAAACAAATAAATAGACGTCTTAATATATTTTGACAATTCAAAATACCTAGTTAAGATACCTCTAATTATATTCTGACTAGAATAAATAACATCAGATTTATCATTAAGTTGTAGGGAGACTCCAGTTCAAGATATCTTAAATGTATCCTTAGATATGAGATTCACTATATAAGATTCAATTAATGCAAATTGCAGACTTTCATGTTCTGTAAATTGTGTTTAAAACAAAGCTGCTGCTGTTGATCATTCTGTTTTTATAAGCAGCAAGGCCAGTACTCTAAGGGAAACACTGGAAAGGTCTCAAAAAAGGTTTTAGAAGATGTTTTTGATAAAACAATTGACTGACTGTTAGTGACACATTCTGCATCTGCTAAATCAGATGTCATAAATTATGTACCTCTGTATTACCATGTTAACAGTTTTGTAGTACAAATACAGTACACATTTTTCTTATATTTTATCAAATTTTGAACATTTTTGTTTCGGGCAGGTAACTTTTCTTGTCGGGCAGGTGACATTTTTCRTGTCGGGCAGGTAAAAAAAAACTTGTCGAACCCTGATTGGCTGATCCAGCACTTCTTATTGTGTAATCTGACACTGATGTAAAGCTGAGATTCTGAGGAACAGAAACCACTGTCTCCCTTTATCTGGGTGTTAAAACAAATACAAATGTAAAGTCTGATTTAATGCCAGGCAGTGAGATAAAATGATGTCTTTTTTTCTCCAGAGTCTGTAAACATCTGGTTTGAAGAGGCTGTGGTCTCCACCTGTGGGTTCTCAGTCAAAAACCAAGACCCTGATGGATCAAACCTAAAACTGGTTTGATCTGGTAAATGAACAAAAAGGGGAGCATTATAATTGTTCATATTTTACATCCAATCACTGCCAAAAGTACTTTTTTTGTTTGGGCTTTTACTAAAAACACATATTTTAAATCTTTTTTCCCCAATTTATCCAGAACTGGAAATACTAAAATCAGATTCCAGACTTTTCTTTTATCTCCCCGGCTTGTAGGAGCCCTGCAGACGGGACGTTGTGCTTAGTCACAGTTATTTCCTGCAACAAAACGTCTCTACAGACACTATGTGACGTCTACCTGAAGTGGTTTTAGTTCATAATAACCGAGATGTTTAACAGTTGTTGAGTCCTGCAGATACAAAGAATCAAAGCTTCTCTGTGAGCAGAGGACAGTGGACGTCCTGCTGACAAACACTGCGTGTTAGAACAGAGCTCACCTGGGGGCCGGCACAGCTGATCTTACACACATCACAGTAGTGGATCTGAGGGGGTTTAGGCGGTTGTTTGGGTCGAAGCTGTTTACTCTGGAAGGTGGGTTTTTTGGTGAAAGTGTTTCCTGTCCAGGCTGCTGTTGCTGCCACAGCTGCCACAGCTTGTTTCTGCTGCTGCTGCTGCTGTTGCTGCTGGTAGTAGTTAGAAGCTGCGGAGTACACAGCTGCTTCGTAACCAGAGTACGAGGTTCCTGAAAAACAGCAAACACGACAAATAACAGTCACTATAGGAACTACGTGGACACGTTTAGCCTCGTCTGCAGACCAAGGCAAACATCAGAAAAACCTGTCAGGAGAAACACGAGGAACTCATTTAAGACTTCACAGCTGAGTCAGACATTTAGAAATACAGGATGCATATAACCCCCCGCCTGAGAACCCACCAGAGTAGGTGACAGCATTCGTGCTGTACGTTGGGCTTTGGGAGTAAGATGGGACAACAGAGGCCGCAGCAGCAACAGGCTGGACTGTGGACGTCACTGGGAAGATGGAGAACGTGGACGAAGCTGGACTGGGAGCAGCTGGTTTTATCACGGTCACCTGCCGGGTCTGCTGGGTCTGCGTGTATGATGTCACCCCCTGAGTATACCCAGGTTTGGGAGCTACAAATAAAATCAAATGGTTTATGTGTGAACCATTAAATATCATGATTTGTTTGTAAGTTTGGTTTTATCCTCTGTGTTCGACAACAATAAACCTCTTTTCTGTCCGGACTCAGACTTTAAATCAACTGATCAACAATAAGTTCAGTGGAGTCGAATCTAAAGATGGTTTTTCTGCAAACAGTTGCTGAGTTTCAGTCTGGGACTGTGGTCACCACAGCTGGTAAATGTTCAGTCATTCCTGAGTGCATGCACAAGGAAACAGGACTAAAAGTGAAATGTTAAATGAATTTAAGCACCGACTGAAGGTTCAGTGTCAGTTTCTCCACAAACAATACGGTTAGAGGCATGTAAAGCCTGGCAGACCACCAGCCTAATAATACACAGGGGGAAACCCTGCATGTAAAGTGTGTTTTGTTTTCCTGTGTTTTGTTCTGTTACCACATTACCACAATGAATTTTAAACAAAACTTTTCAGATGCAGTTGAAGTTCAGACTTTCAGCTTTTTCAGTGGGTTGAACAAAATGACTAAATGAAAGCATTTTAAACACAATCCCTTCATTTCAGAGGCTCAAAAGTAATTGGACAGATTAAATAATTGTAAATAAAATGTTCATTTAATACTTGGTTGAAAAGTCTTTGTTAGCAATGACTGTCTGGAGCCATGAACATCACCAGACGCTGYGTTTCCTCCTTTTTAATGCTCTGCCAGGTAGGGCTGGGCGATATGGCAAAAAAAAATAAAAAAGTCAATTTAATTTTTTCATATCATCTGATTTCGATTATCACAGTTATTTTATTAAACTAAAAAGTGTGTTATTATAAAGTGAATGAAAATAATTTAACAAATAAATAGCTACAGAAATAAAAATAATGGTGTTATTTCACTTTCACTAACATAACAAATAGCTGTGGTTCATTTAATTCTTTTTGCGAGGTATTTAAAAAGGTATTTACCAAGAAAAAAACATTCTTCATGTGTAAAACATAGAATCTCATATTAATAAAGTTATCCTTTTGTAAAATAAGGTTTGAAATTGAATTTCACATTAAATGTTATAAAGAAACAAACCCTACAAACAGCAACAATTTATGCACACTTGCCAATTGAATAACATCTAAGCTCATTATTTACTTCTGTTATGGAAGGAACCCCCACAACCCCCTCCTGTTCACAGAGCTTTATCAAATATCAGACAAAGCTTTTTAATTTTTTCTAAGCACCTGGTTCTGCACACGACAAAATGTTGGATAAACTTCCAGCTTCTGAGTGTTCAGGAGTTTGCAGCATCTTTCGGCTGCTGTTTGTGATGAGACTCAGACAGGAAGTGGTCTTCACGTTTTCTTACACATCCAGCCYATCGTGTGTGGAAAACTTACAGAAAGTTTCTACTCCAGACAAATGAAGAACCGCTGGAACATTGTTCTGTCCTAAGCGTTACCCTAAAACTGCTTCATATTTTTGGAGGACGTTGCCATTTTAGCCAGTCTGTTAGCAGTGCATCGCGGCTCATTTTTCTTTTTTCTCTCTCTGTGTCGAGAGGGGGACACCCTGCGTGCCTGTTAGCAGCTAACAGCAGCAGCCGAAATACATCAGAAACTCGCCCAAATAAGCAAATTCTGTAAGAATCAGCATTTTATACTGGATTTGAATTTGTTTGTTCAATTCCACGATTCTGTATGTGTTTCTTTAGCAACTTACAAACAGAAGTGGAGCAGGTGAAGGTGGATTCTGAGTGGCTGTTGTCACGCACATTTTGTCATGTTTGATCGAGYAAAGAGGCTCACAGCTGATCATCATGATCGGCCTGAAAATGTTCTTGATCAATAATCACGATCAACTAATCACCCAGCCCTACCGTGCAGAAAAAACAACAAAGCCTAAAACAGCACAGAACTTCACTTTGGTCCAGGATGACAGCTTTGGTCTGAGAAGGTGATGTTTGAAAGGAGTAAAGGTCATACCTGTCTGGTAATAGGAGTCTGCCACACTGGGCTGAGGATGTGCAGCAGCTACAGCAGCTGTAGCAGTGGGCTGTTGGTAATACTGCTTACTGTCATAAGCTACAGCTGTAGCTGTGGATCGAACATATGAGTACGAGTCCTGGAAAGCAAACAAGTCCAACAGTTTGAGTTGATATGTTATTCTCCAGCTGTCTACAAATGATCAACAAACTTAGAAGCCTAAGAACACAGGCTTTGTCTTGAGCATTTCTCAGGGCTAAAGTAGATGATGGCAGATTTGTTCATCATTGACCTGATGTGACATGGGAATAAAACCAATGTACATCATCAGCTTGTGAGTACCTGATAGTTCTGTGAGGTGACTGGAGGTGGTGGTGGGGGAACCTCTGGCTGACGCTGGGGGTATCCATAATCAGTGGCAGCATGCGTCGTCTGATATCCTCCATAGGCCGCTGCGGTCGCTGCTGCAACAGCAACAGGCGCTGGCCTCGCCACGGCAACAGCACCAGCAGTGGGTGCGTAGGCCGCTGCAACGGTGTGTGCCGCCACAGGCGCCTGGTGGACTGTGTAACTGGCCACTGTAGTAGGGTGGGTGTAGGCTACCCCCGCTGCTGGCTGCTGACTAACAACACAACACAGAGAGAAATGTTCCAGGGTCATTATAGGAACGTTTCAGTCACATCACAAGCATTAGATTACAACTKTTTCAATTAGGGATGAATTTTATTTATTTTTCTCACACCCTGTACAAGCAGCTCCATTTGAGTACTTCCTAAATACAGAGTACAAATCAGTGATGTGTGGTCAGGTGAGACAGGATGAGAAACAGAAACAGAAAACTTATAACAGTAAAATAAACTAAATTGTTTGATTATTATTATATTGTTTTCTGAAAATATGAAGACATCCATCCAACTGGCCAATTACAAGAAGGGCTCCATTTGATTGGTGAAATACTACAAGATTCTGTCTGAGTGACAAAACTCAAATACATATTAACCCAACCATTTATTGTAGTTTATGCAGTTTTTTACGATATGCCTATTGTACAGGCTGTTATCACCATGAAAATACATGATATACAGTATTGTGCTGCCCTAAATAAGTACATAGTCTTCTGCTGAGGGCTTTCACCTGCAGTCTGTCTCAATGCTGTGCACACCTGCTGTCAATCAGACAGCATGACCCGCCCTGCTCTGCTCTGACTGGGTAAAAAGCTCACTGTCTTTATTGGTTGAAAGAATCATAAACTTTGTGTCATCATTGTTGGCTGAACTGCTTTAAGAAAACCAAAACAAGTTTTTTTTTCTCCTTTCATTTTCACAGATGACAAAAATCAGTCTTTGTGGCAGTGAACTTAAATTCCTGATTTCACTTGGAGGAGGGATCTGGCTGTCAGAAACAAAAATAGGTTGACGACCTAAAAGCCCTCATGTTGACCTCTGTAAGTATGGATAATTTTGAACCTCGTAAACTGAATCAATCAGGATTTAAACCCCACAAACCAGGAATTATAAACATAAATCTATTTACAAAAATAAAGTAGACTGTAGTTCAGTGTTTATGGCAGTTGTCATTCAACAAGAAAGTCAGTGGTTAAATTCCAACAGTATGCCTTCACATGTCAAAGTGTCAATGTGTAATACACTGACTCCCTCTTTAGCTATGGTGTGTTCCCTCAGTTTATGAATGTGATCTAAAGACTAGAATGATATATTAAGATTATCTTTGTAGAGATCAGCAGAGTCTGTATAAATGTGTGGCTGAATAAATGAGGACACAGATTGTAAAGCACTTTGAGTATCTGGTTGGAMAGAAAGGTTCCATGCAAGTATACAGTCCAGTTACCATTTAGTTTTATTTTACATCAACATAAAAGGTGACTTTTGTTCTTGCTGAAGTGGCTGTGTGATGAAAATCACACATTTTTGTTGAGAACCGGTTCTCCTCAAAAGCCCCTGGCAGAATACTTTTCTCACAGGGGTGCCAAAAATTGTGCAATGGCGAAGAGTTAAAGTGATCCACAGTTATAATTAGACATTATTTGATAAACATTTATTTCAACTGTAAACATAAATATTGTAGTTGCAAAACAACAACCAGGAGAAATCGTACAGCAACTTGTAAATTCTGCAGTGCTTCACTTTCAGAGACGGTGGGTGATGGAAGGAGTCTGTATTTTCTACTCTGAAAGTACTTGGACTTCTATAAGGTCTGACCCAGAGGACAAGTGTTGGATACTGTCAACAGCCGTACCTCACTGAGCTGCAGGCGACTGGTAAAAATGGTAAAAGGACTGTACTTATATAGCACCTTCCTATCCATCCAGGACAAAGTGCTTCACACTACAGACATTCACACACTGATGATGGCAAACTACATTGTAGCCACAGCTRCCCTGGSKCACACTGACAGARKCGAGGCTGCCATACACAGGTGCCACCATCTGACCACCATCAGTACGCAAGGTGGGTGAAGTGTCTTGCCCAGGGACACAATGAATGAGTTGACTGGACGGGGATCGAACCAGCGACCTTCCGGGTCCAGGATGACTCCCCTAACTACTCTACCACAGCCGCCCCAAACAGCAGAGGAAGCTGCTACAGCACCTGCAGCATGGTGTGATATGGACAACAAGGTAATGTGTATGGTTCAGTTTTTCAAGCTGTGAACATGAAAACAGGCTGGTATTTTCAAAAACAGCTCAGTATTCACAGAACTACAGTTAAAAGACTTGATCCATTTAAAGATCATCTCATGCAGGCCTGGAGTGGCTAATCGGGATGATCTGGACTTCTCCCGGTGGGCCGGACTGATGTTTGGGCCACAAGGGCCGGTAACGTGTTAGTTATTGATCAGATCACTTCTACGGCTTTCCCTGTATTACCAGCCATTTATATGATACAATGGCTTGCCATACCACCAGGGCTGCCTCCACCTCTCGTATTTTTTTCCTTTTCTTTGTCGTTGTTTTGCACTCTGACGTAACATGGCGCACGCAGTCAGTAGTGTTTGAAAGATGGAAAAAGCTAGCATGGCGTGGAGCCGGAGAAAGCTAAAAACGAGGAAAGCTACGGAAACTGATGCAGCTAAATTAGCAACTTTTTCAGTAAAAGGAGGTTGTTGTGGTTTGAGGACGATGGGACAGGTAAGACAACATGTTGAACTGTGTCCGCAAACCACCGTTAAAGTTAGTTAATTATCAAGTCAGTAACATAACGTTATGATGCAACACCACATAAGTGAGAAACTGTCTTGTAGCTTCTCAGTCAGAACCAAGTCAGAACCAAGATACAGAACCATTCTGCTCCAGAGCCCACAGGTCCAGAGTGAGCAGGTAGGATCACTCATTGACTGAATATTATTAGAATTAATATAATGATGAGTATGATGTAGACCTGCTTTAAAAGAAAAGTGTTCTGAGAGGGTTCAGTACATTTCTGTAACTGAGCTGATGGTCAGAAAGCTTTGTAAAAATAGAGATTTGTCCTAAGAATTATTTAAAAAGTGATTTAGTGTCAGAAGCAGAGCCAGGATCCAGTAGTGATGAGGGGAACAGGTGAGCTGCAGAGTGTGAACAAACAAATGTTAGTATCAATATAACCACTTTCCAAACAATAAAAACCTGTTGTGTTTTTACAATTAAAAGTAAGATAATAATATACACAAAACCCACAATTAAAAGGGAATAAGATGAAAGTAATATGAATCAAACCCGCATATTTTGACATTATGTATTCAATCAATCAATCAACTTTACTTATAAAGCACATTTTAAAAACCACAAGGGCAACCAAAGTGCTGTACAGTAAGACAAGTTAAGACAATAAAAGAAACATAAAACACAAATCAGGGTCACAGCAGGTGAGCACAAGTTGCCAATATGAAACAAAATCACATTGTGTTAAAAGCCAAAGAATAAAAGTGTGTTTTTAAAAGAGATTTAAAACAGGAAGTGATGAAGCCTGTCTGACACTCAGGGGAAGACTGTTCCACAACATGGGACCGACAACAGATTATGCTCTAAGTTTCTGCCTAGCTTTAGGGATGATCAGCAGCAGCTGATCAGCTGATCTTAGGGATCGGGGTGGGCAGTAGGGTTGAAGCAGCTCAGATATGGAGGAGCAAGATTGTTCAAGCATTTGAAAACAAAGAGCAGCAGCTTAAACTGAATTCTGTAGTGTACAGGGAGCCAGTGAAGGGATGCCAGGATAGGAGTGATATATTCACACCTACAAGTCTGAGTTAAAAGACGAGCAGCAGAGTTCTGCACAAGCTGCAGGCAGGAGAGAGAGGTCTCACTAATGCCAATTTACTGTGAATTACAATAATCGAGACAAACTGTGATTAAAAGCATGGATTAATTTTTCCAAATCTGATCTTGCCCAGATTGATTTCACCTTTGCTATTTGACGTAGCTGATAAAAACTCTTCTGAACAACACTGCTGATCTGTTTGTCAAATTTAAAATCAGACTCAAACTTCACCCCCAAATTGGTGACACAGTCCCTGAGATGGAGTGACAGTGATGTCATGTATTAAATGGTCAAAATGTGTTTTCCATAACAAATGTGCTAAAGATTTACAGATTATTTTTTATTTTGATACAAGTGCAGGTGAATTAAGGGAATATTATTTCTGATCATCTGGCAGCATGATGGATCAGTGGTTAGCAGTGATGTCTCACAACCAGAAGGTCCTGGGTTCAATCCCTGGTTTGGACCTGGGCTCTTTCTGTTTGGAGTTTGCCTGTTCTTTTTGTTCTCATGTGGGTTTCCTCCAGGTGCTCCAGTTTTCCCCACAGACCAAAAACATGTACAACAGGTCTCTTTAGGTCTGGGCTTCTTGTAAAATACATCAGCAATCTCAATGGGTTTGCTTGATTAAATAACAATAAATAAATCCATCTCATAATCTGATATTTCTTTGAAAGCTAGTCTTATGCAAAGAGAAAAAAGATAATGGCATCATTAGAATATTGTAACAAACTTGAAGCACAGTGGAAAAATGTTTTTATTCTTTATTCATAAGGATTAGATATCTGCAAACACTAATTTGCTTAATATTTGATATTACATAAAAATAAATTCTGATGTAAAGAATAGTGTAGAGATTTAACTTGTTCACATATTTGTAAAATCTTAGTTATGATGGAACTGTTTCCTTGTTGAAGAATAAGAGCTGACAGTGTTATTAGAAAGTCCAACACTTTTTATATTTTTTGATTGAATATTTTCTTTATTCCTTTATTTCACTGCACTTATATGAACAAAATATAGTCTAGATTCTGATATTGTTGATAAGGATATGTTTTAAATAATAATTGTGGAGATGTGCACTTACAGTATGTTGAAATAAATCTGCATTGTGAAGCAACACCACTTGCACTGAATTGGAAATATTTTTATAAAATATACTGAATTACAAGGCTTTACAGAATAGTGCACTATTATCGATTATTTAGAGGTTATAAAAAACACTTTAATAATAATATGTCGYRATCTATAGTGGGCCGGTCRGAGGCATCWAACTCCAGGGCTGAAAATGAGTCCCACTGCAGCCCTGATCTCATGCCAAAGAACAGATATTACTTCTCACTTTACCTTCAACTACATGTATTTTACTTATACACTGTGTACAGTTATCAAACTGTTTGGTTTATATGTAGTCACATGTTGTCACTGTGTAGTTTACTTTTTTTTATTTATGTCCCATGCATGCTAGCAAAATTTAGCAAAAAAAATAGTTTATATGAAAACAAATCTTAAAGCTTCAGTAGGTAACTTTTATAAAAATGTATTTCTTACATATTTGTTAAAACCATCACTAAGTTCTGACAGTAGAATATGAGACAGCTAATCTGTGAAAAGATAAAGCTAGCTTTATACTTTGAGGTGCACGTCTAGTTCCTCCTGCTGAATGACAAAAAAATTGCGCAACTTCCGTCTGCTCTCCCACTGCTATCCCCTGGTGACAGCCGTCCTGTGCATTGCCCCAGTCAGAACTCTGCGATGCGGACCTTGCAGCTCGAACCGTGTGATTGGGTAGAACTTCCTGGATGTGTTTGTTCATGAGGAGCACTGCAGCTGCTGCAGCACTGAGGAGCAGGACTCTGATCAGCTCTGCCTTCTGCAGCTTATTTTGATTTTTTTGTCTGAAGTCTGAATGATTTCTTTTGTCTGAAGCCAGTTGTTAAAAGCTAGAAGAGCAGTTGGTTTGATCCTGTTGAACGTGAGCACATAGCTGATTTTCACGACTTTTTTCCATCACCACCGTCAAAAAAATAAAAGGTTTTCCACGGAGGAAATCATATCACTTACCAGGACAGCACTGTAAATAAAAATTGGTAAAATTAAGGCTAAATTAAATTAGTGCTGGAAAAGAATTCAATATTGTGATAGAAAAGTTTTATTATTATATATATAGTTAGTGATAATTTAAAAAAAAAAATTGATGTAAGTTACGTTAGTGTGTGATGACGTACACCACATGCTCAACGCTAGTGCTCAGGGCTAACAGTCTGTTTACACCATGCTAACAACACTGCAACAACAAGTTACCTCCAACACAGTGGATATCTGCACCGAAATGAGCTAATCAGCTGTGAATGAACAAACGACCACAGATGGAAAAACAAATAGAACAGAGATAAGATAGGACTGCAGTAATTCAGCGGTGTGGTGGTGCTTCATGTAAACACGAAGCACTCTAAAAAGGTTAAGCCCTCTTTCTAAAACATCAACATCTCCCTGTCAGCAGCTGTTGAGCCAAATGAAGCCAACGATGCAAATAGAGATGGGTACGGCAGGCCAATATGACATACAATCGGCCTCACTATACTTGCATTCCAGATATCTGAAATAGCCTATATGCCATGGACATCGGGCCCAGCACTTGATGCCACTCCCAACACTTCCGGTTCACGGTCAACACAGTGTTAGCGAAAGATTTTTTCATCCGACAAACGACTCTTAATGATCTCCACAGTACAGAATTAGCATATTACATGTACCAACATTAACACAGGAGACATATAGGTCCAGCCAATTGGAAAAAAAAATCACTCCAAAGCGGATTAAAGCCATAAAAACAAAGGAAAGACGTTCATGTTTATGGTTCCATAAATTAGCCTTTTTCACTATTCCTTGGCTGCTTGTTCAGTGTATTTTTCACGTAGAGCTGTGACACTTATATTTTTGGAAAGAGCAGAGTCTGGGCTTTAAATCGATGGGCTACTTGTATGGTTTGGATCGGTTTCCCCGACGTTAGTGAACTGAAAACATAATGATTATCAGGCAGAGGTTCTGCTGCTCTCGGTGCTCGGGGGGAGGGAGGGGGGTGCTCGTCACTTGGCTTTAGTCTACGCTGTAATATACACTCTAATAAGGTTTTACTTTTGCATAAAACAAACGACAAAGTCACATAAAAACATTTCATATAACACAAACGCGCGCGCACACACCTACCTTTGTACCGGCTGCTGTGTTAGCTTCCTGCTAGCTGTCATGTGGAGGAGGTCTTTCCTCCCTCGTCTTGGCAGTAAAAGGGGATAAATGTACATTTCCCTTTTGTAACCGTCTTCTCATTTCTGATGCTGACTCTTCAATATCCTCAGGTTAGAAATGCCAATTACAAACGCAAGCGTGAGCTTTTAAAGATAAGTTTTCCCTGCTAGGATCCACTGCTGTCACCTCCTCATCTAAAGGAAAATGGATAAAAACTAACTACTCGATCGTACCTGCTGCTTAGTGAACACAACGACACACAACAGAACTCACGTTTTATACCAGTAGATCACAGATGCTTTAACTTTTGTGACTTTTTCACGGACTAGTACTAGCAGCTCACGCTAAAAACATAGGCAGTAAGCAGGGAGTGGAAGGGAGGAGCGTGGCTGGAATTTTACCGGAAATACGTCATTAATGACCGTGGCATTTAGGCTATTGGTTTATGATTAGAGTTAGTTAATTAGGACATCTCTAATTATATTTTGACTAGGCAAAATACCTATTTGAGATTTGAGAGAAGTTTTATTTTTTTCTGAATTCRGACCACCCATTAAGGATTTAGAGGTCATCAAAAGTTGACCCTCACTGTTGTAAGTGCAGCATTACTTCATACTTAATTACTTAACACACAACACACATGGACAATGCATTTATTGAAGTGCCTACTTCCAGCTCTTAAAATTTACATTTTTTGTATTATTGCCATTCTGAATTTCACTGAAGAATATCAAAAGTGGTTTTCTGTCACAAAAATTATCATAATTTTTGCATATTTTTGTTAATATTCAGAATATTGCTCAGAATATTCAACCTACAGATTGAGTTTTTTACTACAGATAAAACTGTATTATTCTTTGTCATTTTCACATTTTGCCTCTGAAGAAAAAAAACTGTGTTAACAAATGAGAGTTTGGTGAATTTTGTGTATACAGGTAGGTGAAAACAAATTAAAATCACATATTAGGCTGTTAAAAAAGGTATTTATCAAGAAGCTTTTGTTGTTGTGAACATTGTAAATTATACCACAATTCTCAAATAGGAAGTAAACAACTGGATTAACAATAAAATGTCTGAATGTTTTCTCCATGTAGCCCTGTCAGGTAAGACCATTACTAATAAAATTATTTTGTCAGCTCTGATATTTGTATTATATTTTTCCTGAGTCAGGAACAGATCTAACTAATTCTCTGCTCCAGCCCTCTGATTCATCATCCAACCCTGAAGTGTGACAAGATTCCCAGTCCTGTAGGTGGTAAACCAGTCTTTGAGCCGCTGACCAACAGCAGGTTCTGACAGCTAGTTTTACTGGTTCTGAACAGAATATTTACAGACTGTTTTTTTTTTTATTCTCCCCTCCACACAACAGCCTCCTTCAATCACCCAGACGTACACAGCAGTGTCTACATCTGATGTTTGTGGTTAAAGACCTGCAGAGTCCAGCTGGTTTGGTGTTGAATAACTGGTACAGTTCCTGAATCTGACCCATTTTGGACCGAACCAAACCTCCAGCTGCAGCAGTCACAAAGGCCCCCCTCTCCCAGCAGGAACAATAGGATCTACAGCCTGTACAAATTACAAACTGACCACACAGAAGAACCAGACAGAACCAAATGGATCCAGACCCCTCACCTGTACTGTGCAGCAGCTCCGTGAGTAAACCCAAAGTAGTTGCCGGTAGCCATTTTGGCATCTTCACCGAGCCGGCTGGGCACTGCGGAGGACACACAGGATGAGGCTAAGCTAACCGATGCGGAGCGCTTGATYATTAGCCTCACTGTTGATAATAAAACCCTTCCAAACGACTCGTTTCCACATACATGATGCTAAGCCTTCTAACGGTACTCACCATAGGTGAAGGAGACAACTGGGCATATAGGAATCATTGGTTTCGTATGTTTTATCGATGCCTCGATGTACACCAGCCTCTTAATATTACATGTCGCACCCGGAAATGCTGTCGTTGCGCATGCGCACTGCGAGCCGTGGGAAGGCTGGGTGCGGTTAGTGCGTTATGATGAGGCGATCTGTCACCTGCATGGATCAAAACTCACAAAAAATGTAACTAAAAAAAAGTAACAAATTTAATTAACATTTAAAAAAAACAAAGCCAGCCTTTATTTCATGAAATACATTTTAATAAAAGTTGATTATCTAATGAAACCAACACAAATTCATATTGAGATATGTTTATGCACATTTTTAAAGGACAATGAAAATATTCATAATAAAGAATTGTATATTTCACATGTTGCAACGTTATATATATATGTATCTCTTATTTATTCATGTAGATACTATAATGTTTTATTTATTTATTTCATTGTGAACACTTCATGTTTATATTTGTATATATTCAGTTCAAGTGATTTATATGACATCAATTTACAACAAACATCACCTCAAGGCACTGTGAATCATTTTTTATCATAAAATGTTTATAACATCACATATGTCAAGCAACACCAAATCAGTAAAAATTATCAGCAGATTGTGTTGAATCTTAACTTTGTCACATTTTCCCCTCCTGAGCAGCAGATTGGTGACAGTGGGAAAGAAAAACCTCCAGCAGAACCAGAACCAGGGACCATGCAGCTGATCACTCACAGACATAAACAACAACAAACTTCTCAGGTTTATGTGCAATTTATTTTCAGGAAGTGCAATTGTAATGACATGTGGGTAAAGACATGTATGTACTGTATATGTGTGTTTATGTGTGTATTTTTATCTTATCTTATCTTATCTTATCTTATCTTATCTTATCTTATCTTATCTTATCAGATTTTACTGAATGATGTTTGTGAGGACAGGAAAGACTGACTGACTTCTGGAGTCACCACAGTTCAAGGGGTCAAAGCAGTGATTTTCAAAGTGTGTGGGGGGGTGTTATTTCAGAGAAGTTTGATTTAGGTTTCTGTTCTTATCAACAGTTTGATGAAAACATTTTTCAGTGGGAATATAGTAAAAAGTCAGAAAAATATTTAACATCAACTCTAAAAGTTGATGTATCTTTATATATACTCACTGGCCACTTTATTAGGTACACCACGCTAGTAATGGGTTGGACCCCCTATTGCCTTCAGAACTGCCTCAATTCTTCGTGGCATAGATTCAACAAGGTGCTGGAAGCATTCCTCAGAGATTTTGGTCCATATTGACATGATGG